CCCTGGCTACAGCAAGACGCATCAGACGCAGTCACAAAGAAAGTGAGATTCGGTCCCTGAGAATTACCTGCAGCTGTTCGGTTCAAGTGGCTAACATGACACTGGTATAATGTTCTGACTTTAACAATGCGCTCTAGCTTTGATTTGGGTAACGCATTCTGGAGCGTTAGGAGTTCCTCGGAGGCTGTGGAGATGAAACGCCGACCCGTAGCTGCGGGTGGTGAAGAAGCAGCAGAGGAGCGGGTATCAAACAGCTCCGTCAGTGCCCATAGAAACACAAGTAGGAGCTGCGTTAAGGGAGCATCAGTGTCCATAGAAACACAAGTAGGAACTGTGTTAAGGGAGAAGGGTGCAGAGTTTCAGCCAGGGCAGGCTCCTCTCGCTCAGCTTATTTTCTCAGGGGCGATGACTCGGCCATAAATTCTCCAGCCAAGGTGGGATGGGTTGGAGGGAAAAGAGGTTTTGACTGCTTCATGCCTGGCAGCCTCACAGTTACAAGACAGGGTGTTGAAAACAAAACAGAGCATAAATAACCCGACTGATATGCACATATGCATAGACCCAGATGAAGTGTAGTAGAAAGGCAGAGCAGCTAATGAGGTGTGCGTAAAAAAGTCACACAATAAACTATATTGCCTGTTTAAATGCAAGAATGTGGAGAAACAGTAGTGGTGTGTTTCAAAATGTGTTTCAGATAAGTCATCGCTAATGTTGTAGAAAAGAAGCCACTTAGACACTTATATTACAAGTTAACAGACTGTGATAGAGATTGTGAAGACATGAAAAGACCCTGGTCCCTGCTGTCTTGATACAGAAGACGTGAGCTTGTGGACTTGTCAACCTGAACTATATAATGTTTCAATCAAATCTATTATTGCAGTTCTATTCAAATTTATCGTGGTTTTTGAAGTAAATTTTAACTACTGTATACAACCATGCAAATACTCAAAAAAGAAATATAGACCATTAAAAGCTTCTCTTCTTTTTATGATGTACTTCTTTCATGTTCACCAAAAGCAAATATTTGTATTTTAATTTCACCTTCTTAAAATGTATCCATTCAATTAATTACAAATACTATTTCAATGTAAAAGATCACATAATTTTAACAATAAGCCAAAGTTTAATTTCAGCTACATGTGGCAGTACTAGCTTTAATTTTATTAGGGCAACTAATAGACAACAAATTTATATGCCTTAATAGGCCTATCAGTATAATTATTTAATAAATGGTACACGGAACAGGAATTTTAGGGATTCAATATTGATCATGGGTACTTTTATTCTTTGTGCAAGTTATTTTCATCTTTTTTTTAAATTTTATTTTATTTGAACTGAAGAGTTAAAACGTAGCTTCTGTGAGTCATAGACACTAACTCACAGTTAATATGTTTAATTCTGTTATTTAGTTATTGCAGCTTGTGAGTTACCTGTGTCACTATTAGCTAAGTGTCTCATCAAATTGCCATAAAAGAAAGCCATCTATCAAGGTTCACTAGATCTACTCAGGACAGATATTACCAATTAAACAAAGGCAGCTTAAATGGGTTTTAGGTCGATCTCTGGGTCTCAGGAATGTCATTATCTCATGGTGACACCCCTCCCTCCACAGCTCCAATCCAATCTCCAGCCCCAAACGCAGGCCGCTATTGGCAAAGGGATCACCTAAATGATTCTTAGCATGAGAAAACCCCTCATGTGCAGCCGCTCTGTGTGAAAAAGATCAAGGATGTTGGTTCATTCTTCTCTGCAGTGGGCAAAAGGTAAAAAAGTCCACAGGAATGCCATTCTTAAGAAATGTTGGGCTTCTATATGAATGGAGGAAAAACATCTATGGCGCCAGGGTCAAAGGCAATTTAGACCTAACCCCCAAAAGAAAAAGTCACTCAAAAGATGATGTTAAGATGTTAAGTAAAGCCTCAAACATATTAGAATGCATGAAGCTGGAGGACAGGCATGGTGGAATTAGTATATTTCAAAAAGGTGCATTGCACAACTTTTCAGGTGGAAGGTCAATCTTGTCTCCATATAGTCATTATTGATTTGCCTGAAATGTTCCGTGGTATGGCATTAAACACACCTATCTACCATTTATTCATTATGGGCATGAGTAACAGTTCTAGACAAAGCAATAACATCTCCATGAAGACAAGCAGGGCACGGATCCTCCTCCAGAAAAGTTATGCACTTCACCTTTAACTGTCATATTGTAGATTGGTTTAATTTATGGTCAATATCTCTGTAATTACATATCCATATGAAATAAAAATGGGCAAAGTTTGATCTTTCTCTGTCAGCATAAATACACAAAAGCTGAATTATTTTTTCATAATAGCTCCAAATGTTGTGCCATTATCAAACCACAAAGACATGATTGTTGTCAGCTGAAAAGAAAAAGAATAACATGGCAAGTTTGTGGGACCAATCCCTAAAAAATGTTGATGAAGTCCAACATTTGTGAATCATAAGGATATTTCCTTAAAAACTTGAATCTCACAGAGTTATTTTGGCTTTTGCATTCCATCTGATATTATTACACCTCTGAACTGAACAC